TCATGAAAACAGCGTATTATATTCCATAAATTTGCTCAGATCATCTTTTGAAACTATAAACTGCAGCGTTGACTGCAAATGTTAAGTTCGAAAGAACTAGTACTGCTTAAAAGGTGTGAAAAGTGTGATTTTGGAAGTGAGTAAACACAGCAAAAAATGAATGCAACGCGGATATAAATAGGAGGTAATGTCAAATGGCTACGTGGTAAAGTTTAAGTTACGTGTAGTACAGATATTCACCATGTAAAGTGGTATGATTTTTAATAAAAATATCATCTTAACTCTTAAATTATTGACTTCTTTTTATGTTATCCGTATATTGCATCGTATTGAATAATCTTATGAGTTAATAAGTATAACACAGTTAAAAGTAGGATATAAAGGAAATAAATGTCTCTGCGTTTAATAATGTTAACTGATAACAAGTTAATGTTGGTAAATACCGAGACGTGGATTTATTTCCTTTGCACTTTTAACTGTGTTATACTTATTTTTCAAATTTATGGGATACCTCCAGAATATCAAATATGAATAATTTTATGTTTTGTGCTACAACACTCGGTGTAAAGAACTGATTAAAAAACAGGGCGAAATCAAAATGTATAATAAGTTCCAGCAGTAAAATGTAAGGTTAACTGCAGTTTCGGTGGTGATTTTTTATGTACATTTTTGTGTGTAGTCCCTGTGGTATCGTAGGAACCCCGATAATCAAGAAAGTCGTGGACCCACAAGAATATTTTAAAAACCGATAATGCTCCAACCAAACCCATGTTTAATGATACCACATCGTATAATATCTCAAAGGGTCCACCCATCAAATGAAACTGACTTCAACGAAAAATCTAATACCATGCATATTTGAAGCGTACGGTGTACACAATAATTGTAACACATCTGTGTGAAAAACAAGAACTATAGTTGCAGCGTACGTGTACATAATAATTGTAACACATCTGTGTGAAAAACAAGAACTATAGTTGCAACGTACGGTGTACATAATAATTGTAACACATCTATGTGAAAAACTAGAACTATAGTTGCAGCGTAGAATAATTGTGAAAAACGAACTATTTTGGGAAAATGAGACAAGCTTTTCATTCGACTTGCGCAAGAACGTGAGTACATCAACTATTTAAGTTTGTCAGGAAATAGGAAGTCTCGAATTTTATCTTATGAAAGAATGAATTAATTAATTTGTATTATGCAGTAAGTTTTGTTAAAATTGCTCAAGATACACTCTTAATAAATATTTCATACTTGTAGCACATTTCACATGTTTTTTATGTATCCATTTATACCAATCTTTTCAAGTTCGTGAAGAGCAACAGACTCGTAAAGACTACCATCGAGGACCTGGTCAAGGTGCTCGACTCGCAATCGTCACCGATCATGCTCGCCCTTTCAGCAGTGGGGGCGTTATTATGTAACGGTCAATTCCACTATTCATTGATAAAAAAATTAAATCAAGGGATGGCGATGGGTGGTGTTTAGTAGCTACTTTCCCTATAGTCTTTCACTGCTAAATTATGGACGGCTAGCTCAGATAGTCTTCATGCAACTTTGCGCGAAGTTCCAAACGAAACAAAACTCATCAGAATGACGCAGTAACCCTCATTGCAAGAGAGTATGTCTTTGTTGGCTTCCAGTGTTTAGTTAATGTGAGAATTGAAGGCATCGTTTATATGTCAGCTCTCCGGGTCTTCTGTTTAAGATCATGAACGTGAGCTCTCCAGGTCTTCTGTTTGCGTTCATGAATGTCAGCTCTCCAGGTTTTCTGTTTACGATCATGAATGTCAGCTCTCCGGGTCTTCTGTTTACGATCATGAACACTTCCTATTTAAATGTGTAATCTGAAGTCTATCCGCTTCTTCTGTAGAAATTCTAAGATTTTATGAGTGAAAATAAAAGAATAAACCAGCCACATTACATCTGCTATATATAGTGCCGACGAAGCCTTTAGTCAATACCAAGGCTCATCAGGCTAGCTAGGATACGACGTAGGTCTAGGTGGTATATATGAACGCCAGTGTGTGTGTTGCGTCATGCTTGATTTCTAGAAATGGGAGGAGTCATAAAAGCCAAAAAGCATTTATCCAGATAGAATAGTTCGATTACTATCAGCCCATTACGATTTTAGTGATGGGGTGCAAAGGGCCGTGAGATGAGGGGTGTGTGTGCCGTGAAACCTTATATGTGTTGTGAGTGTTGGTATAATAAGCCTGAAGTAAAGACGTAATGTGGGATCACCTTGCCAAGTGCATAAAATTTATCATGAAAGTAAAAATATCGATTCAATTTTAAACTTAAATCGTTTCTGAATTAAGACATTTTGTTTTATATCACCAACGTTGTTAATAAAAAACAAACCTCTTGAATCAATGGAGACACTAAATTAAGAAATCAACAAATACTTTCCAGTTTTCTATGTGTTTTGTTTTATACTTTCAGTACATAGAGTCATAGACTAACAACAATATTAGGTTATACTTTTGTTGCTAAGCAACCTGACATAAAAGCCATTGTTGGAATGTAGTGTTACCAAAACGCACTGGCTTTTCTATATATTAGAAGTTGTTAATCTAAGTGATTTTTACCCTTAATTATTCTATGAATACACCACGAATTCATTTCATGAATGATCTTAATTCTTATTGGCTCACAAAGGAAGTTACCGATGTTTCACTCTCTTGACTGCACTTCTTTGCCTCTTTGTTGGTCAACCTTGATTTCTCAAAATGTATTTATTTCAGTTAGCTATGAAATGTGAGGTTAGGGTATACTATGGGGTTGGGGTGGTAGTACTTGCCCCGTCATATTTGACCTGCTATACGCTAGTAATACTATGAACAATCGCATGAATAACAACTGTTATGAGTGTTAATTAGGTTTTATTTTGTTCGTTTATAAATCAGAATTATGGGAGAGATTAACAACACAGTATTATTTATTTATTGTATTTTTAATACCAGTTATTTATTATTATTACTTGAGTTAAGGTGTTGATTTGGTGGCGTGGTCTGTGAACTTGGACATGATGGTGAAGTTTACGTGAAATTATTGAACGTTTTTATGTGGGCGCCTGTTCATTAAGGCCTCCTCGCACGTTATGTTGGAAGAGTGGAATTGACTGTGTATGATAAATTACATCCAATTTCGCTAGAGTTATACGGACCGGTTCTTTGGGCTTGTATGAAAATAGACGTAACTGAAAAATAAAATATTCGAAACTTCACTCGTATTGTACGTGTTGATATTTGGAAGATTGTTGTCACGTTTGTCAACAGTCATGATGCAGTACATGGGGTTTATCTACCACGTTTTGCATATTAACCTCAAATTGTTTATATACCCTTCATTAACATTGGAACACACATATTGTATGATACACCATAATTTTGTAATTTTGCGTGTTACAATACTCAGTGTAAACACCTGACTATATTAGTTGTTTGAGATCGCTTATTTTTAATATAAAATACATGGAATATACGAGCTCTGGTTAGCGGAATTAATGCAGTGTTGGTCATATTTTCTTTTTAACATTTTTCTTATGTGACTGTTTATGCTATTAAGGGACTATGTAACCCAGCAGTCTTGTATAATGGATGTTTGAATAGATGCTAGATATTTTAGTCCTGTATTAACAATGCTCGCTCACTCAGTTGTATAGGAGCAGTCTTGTATAGTGGATGTTTGAATAGATGCTAGATATTTTAGTCCTGTATTAACAATGCTCGCTCACTCAGTTGTATAGGAGCAGTCTTGTATAGTGGATGTTTGAATAGATGCTAGATATTTTAGTCCTGTATTAACAATGCTCGCTCACTCAGTTCTATAGGAGCAGTCTTGTAT